CCCAGCAGAGTTAAGCATAATCCTGAATGAAAAAAAAAAGCAAATTCAATGAACTGCCAGACTTTCAGGATTTTGTTGCAAAAAAACCTGAACTTAATAGAAGATTTGACATATAAGATCCAAGAGAAATATAAGGTATACATCAAAGACTAATTATAAGGGACTCAACAAGGACAGATTATTTACTTTTTATGAGGAAATATAAAAAGCATATCTAAGATTGTTATCAGTAATTGGGTAGTTTGAAAGAAAGATTGGGGTTGACTTCAGTATGATGTGATTCTAAAAAGTAAAACAGTTAAGGAAAAGGTAGAAAGAGTAATTATCTTATGCAAATGAGGTGCAAGAGGAAGAACTGACACAGAGGAATTAGATGGGGAGGAGAGCTGGTAGTTCTGGAACCCTCCTCTCATCGGAAATGGGTTAAAGAGGTAATAGTACATATATATATATATATATATATATATATACATACATATATATATATATATATATATATATCTAGAAGGGTATAAAAGTTTACTAAATTCAGAAAGAAATAAAAAGGCTAAGGGGATAGGGAGGGGGGAGAGGATAAGGGAGGGATTTTTAGTGGGAACCCTACTCACATAAGATAAGGGTTAAAGAGAGAACAATATATACATGTAGAAAGGAATAAAAGTCTTCTAAATTTATAAAGGAATAAGAGGGTGAGGGAATAGGATAAGGGGGAAATAGAAGGATGTCTAGATTAATGGGAATGGGATGCAGAGGGAATAACATATATATTTGAAAGGCTATAAAAGTCTTCTAAATTCAGATAGAAACAAGAGGGTAAAGGAAAAGGGTGAGGTGGAGAACTAAGGGAGGGATCTTCAGAGGAGGGGTAAGTTAAATAACAGATGGGCAAGGAAGTGTGTAGAAGCAAAGTAGAGGAATCAGGAGGGATAGGAAATAAGAGATACACAAACATAAAATAAAGATCAGAAGTAGAATTTATTAGGAAAAAGGCAGGGGAGGTAATCATGACCTCAGACAAAGTTAAAGCTAAAATAGATTTAATCAAAAGAGAAAAATAGAGAAACTGTCAGCCATATTAATCAATTTTGTTTTAGACTATTTAAAATAGCTAGATAACATAAAGTTGAATATTGTTGTGGTATAGGAAATTATGAGTTGGTAGACTTAGAAAAATATGGAAAGACTTGGACTTAGGAAGGAAATGTTATCCACCTGCAGAGAAACAGAAGACAGACAAGCACAGTCTTACATAGATGTATATGAATGTATGTCTGTATATGAGTATGATTATAGATATGTATGTGCATGTAAGTGTGTGTATGTGTATATGTATGTATATATACATTTGTGTATATATGTATAAGTGTATATATATATATATACACACACACACAACACACATACATATATAAAAATATATTTGTGCTTAATTGTAGCCTCCTTGGAGGAGGAAGGAGGAAAATGAACAAACTAAAAATTGCACAGCAGAGAACAAAAGAAAACTTACAAGGAAGCAAAGAAAAGATGGATAGCTCTGAACACAATGTATGGTATTTATTATATAGGCTTTCTTGAAATGAAATTTATTGCTGCATATTTTGAATCGTCTCTTACATTCTGCTGTGCACATGGCAATGCTTTTTTTTTCTTTTCTTACTTTGTATTTAAGTTTATAATATGTTTCTTTTTCTATCCTTATTGTGAATTTAAGTTTTAAATAAATTTTTAAAAAAACTTCTAGAGAGTAGTTGAGATCATTCTCTAAGAAATGTGAGTTCTGATACTAGGGAAGATAATTAGCTATGGAAGAGGATATAACGCTCCACACCCCACCCCAATTTGGTCACAGCGAATTATAGCAGAACTATTTGCCCAGAAGAAGACACTATATTCACGAGGCAGCAGGTTCAGTCAGTCAAGGCATGAGACTAGACAAGCTTTGCAAGTAGAGAAAGAGTTAGCTCTGGCAGTAAGTACTAATTACAGAGAGGGACAGGTAGAAGAGTCCAAATGAGCTCCTCTAGCAGTGATGCTGGGCCCAGAGGGCATAGCTTGAGGGCAACATGAGAAGAAGAAGGACTTCAGAGCTCTGAAGTATCTGAAACATGAGTGGCTTCACTAGGAAAATAGAGGAGACTAGAATTTGAAAACTGAGGAACCCTGAAACCCAGGGCTTACTGACAATAATTGAGCAATTGCATTCTTAAGATACAAATTCCCTTGAAACCATAAGCTGAATTTGGGGACGATGCCCAATCTACACGGCAGTTCTCTAAAGACAACGGTTTTCTAACAGAATCTCATATTAATATTGATTTACACGATGAGGCCTTTGCAAAGCTTCGGAGAAAATGGTCATAGCCATTATACAACAAGCTGTCTGGTATCCAGAGCTTCTCTCCATTCCTTATCCTGCTGATCCTCTCCCATTAATCAGGCAAATGAAGGAACATGCAGGACTAAAATCCTGGGCTTTGAGCCAGAGGCTGAAACCAAGAGGCAAAGTCTGTGAGCAGGCTGGAAGAAGAAGCCATCACCTGACCCTTTCTTAAGCCCTTAGTTCACACCTGGGGAGCCTCCTGCCTGAGTGAAACTACAAAGATAGATGCTAGAATCAAACAAAATGTTCATTGAAGTAGACAGCACCGAAATGAAATGGCAGCTCAATTCCTAGGTCCTAAATAGGACACCAGTCACAACATGGCAAATAAAACATAAAGCTAGAATGCTCATTTTCTCGGTACACATATTAAAATTGGAAAGATACAGCGGCAGCTAGCATGTCCTATCTCACAGAGTCACTGTGAGGAAAATGTGTTGTAAACCTTGAAGTGCCATATGAGTGTGGGTTATTATGAATAATAATAATAACATCATTTATCAAGAGTCCAAGCACTGTGCTCAGTACTACCAGAGACTACAATAAACTAAGATAAGAAATGGTCCCTTCCCTCAAGGAGCTCAGTTAAATAAAGGTCTAAGACACAAACACAGATAAAGATCACAACAATATTACATAATAAATATATTAGAGAGCTATAAAACAAATGCTAGGTGAGGTCTGAAGGAAAAGGCAGGTACTCTTCTGGACTAAGGAAATGCTTTGTCCCCTGAATGTGCCCTCCTCCTTCTAAGCCTTTGCTGGTGCAATTACATTTTGCATTCTCCCACTGGCCTCTTCTTGATCCTGTCAAATCCCTACCTGTTTTATTAGTTTATTTCCTAAGGAGGAGGCATTTGTCAGACTTTAAATAATGGGCAGGAACTTGACAGGCAAAGAGGAGGCCTGTGGAGGAGTGAAAAAATGTAACTGCATGAGCACAGGTCCATAAGGAGGAGGGTGCAGGCTATATTCAGGGGACAAAGGGTCGTCCAGTTGGGCTGGAAAATGAAGTGCATAGATGCAAGTGACATGATATTAAGCTGAAAAGGTAACGTTGTGATAGAGGTAGACACTAGCTGTATGACCCCAGGCAAGTCTCTTAACCCTGTTTGCCTCAATTTCCTCATGTGTAAAATAAGCTGGAGAAGGAAATGGCAAAGCCCTCCAGTATCTTTGCCAAGAAAATCCCAAATGGGTCACAAGAATCAAACAAGCTGAATCACTGAAACAACAACAACAACAACAAGGTTGCGCCAGATTGTGGAGGGACTTGCGTCCCTGACAAAGAAGTCAAAACTTTACTTGGCAGGCACTAGGGAGCCACTGCCAGTTTTTGAACAGAGGAGTAATGATCAGTTCTATGAACAAGAAAGATATTTTGACAACGTATGATGGATGACTTATGGGGAAGCTGGGGATTAGGAAGATCTATAAGGAGGTCATGTCTCTACTGGGAACTAGTGGTGTGACTTTTAACAACCTTCTTTAGGCTTGTCACTAACTTGCTGTATGACCTCAGGAAAGTCATCATCAACTCTGAGAGCCAGAAGAGAGCTCTCTGGTCAGAGAGTCAGTTAATAGTTACCAACAGTTTTCCATTTTTGTCTCTTAATCCCCAAAGAGGTCTAGAGATTCTAATGATAACACTGAGCATCCTTTTGTGAATTTCTTATACAAACTAAATCCTTTACCCTACCCCCAGAACACTTTTTTTAAATAGGGAGAAAGCTAGACACAATAATAATTATAATAATAATGGCAATAGCTTGTATTTATTTAGTACTTTTATTTCCAGGGGGCAATGCTTTGTCTCCTGAATGTGCCCTCCTCCTTCTAAGCCTTTGCTGGTGCAATGATGTTTTGCATTCACCCACTGGCCTCTTCTTCATCCCGTCAAATCCCTACCTGTTTTATTAGTTTATTTATGGTTACACATTCACATCCACTCTCTCACTGATCTTCATCTCAACACTAAAGTAGGTGGTGGCTATTACAGCATTATTCCCATTTCATGAATGAGAAATCAGAGACCCAGAGGGGTAGGAGCCCAAGGTTACAGAGCTAGTAAGGAATGGAACAGGGATTCCAATGTCAAGCTCTGGTGTTCTTTCCATTGCAAGACTCTATCTATGCCTTCTAAACTCCCTCATGGGATTGTTAAGAGGATCCAAGAAGCCAATGCAAGTATAATGACTTTTAGCTCCAAAGCAGTATATAAACAGGTTATTACTGTAATTATCATTAGTTCAATAATATGGCTTTTTCACTCAGCATGACTGTCCCAGCCTACTCCTAGCCCTGATCTTTCCGTTCTTTGCAAGAAGAAGGGCAAAATGTAGCAATGTCTTCTTCCCTCACACATATGGCAACAATCAGAGGCTATTTGTTATAAGTTCTATCTTATCACAAGTCACTTCCTCTCTTGGGGCCTCAGTTTCTCCATATATGAAATGAGGGGGTTGGCCTAGATGATCTTTAAGTGCCCTTCTAGCTCTGACATTCTATATTCTTATTCCATCTCTAATAAATACTGTAGGGTTTTTGGTCTAGGGACCCCCCAGTCCTGCTCTTATGTGAATGCAAGTTACAAAGAGCTCAAGGCCAAGTTTTCTCTCACCAAAAATGGCCGATCTAAGATGTGCTTTGCAGGAACATGGAACAGGCTTTCAATTGAGGTCCATTTCTTCCTTCGAATCTGTGCCAGGGAAGGTTTTTTGTGGTCTTCCTGAACTTCTGTGTGTGGGCACACTACTTGCTTGAATTTCTTCTTTAAGGAAGCTTTTTGGGCCACCAGCCAGTGGCTTTTACCTATAAAAGTTAGAGAAATGAGAAGGAAGAGAAAGAAAGAAAAATAAAGAAAGGAAGGAAGAGAGAGAGAAAGAAAGGAAGAAAGAAAGAGAGCGAAAGAAAGAGAAAGAGAAAGGAAGGAAGGAAGGCAGAAAGAAAGAAAAGAAGAAAAGAGAAGGGAAGAAGAAAGGAGAGGAGAGAAGGGAGAAGAGGGGAGGAAAGGGAGGGAAGCACAGCAAAGAGGACAGAAGAGATAAGGAGGGAAAAAAACCAGAGATGCAGCATAAAGATACTATTCATTTTCTTTCTGTATCTCATATAGGTACATACAATTATTTCCAGGCTGGTAACACAGACTTGGAGCTTCAAAACTGGAAGAGATCCCAGGTCTCCTGTTTGCACTTACATGTAGCACTCCCTTCTAAAACCTCACTAGGAGGATGATCATCCAACCTCTTCTGTATATATACCTCCAGTGATGGGGATCTCGCTACCTTCTAAGATAGAGGAGTCTTGGTCACTTTGCACAGCTCTAATGAACATCGGGGCATGAGTTGACAGAGATGGAGATGGAGGTCACCACTTCTTTCTAAGGACCTAACTCCATCTTGTCACTTTAAGATGTTCCAAAACAGGATTTTCCCCTACAAGAAACTCAGAATTGGAAGGGAACTTTTTATTTGGTCCAGTCCTTACCTGAAGCATGATCTTCTAGAAATCCTCAATGGAGATGGGGCATCTCCAGTAACAGCAGCTCACCATATCACAAAGCAGCCCATTCCACTGGAGTAGTGAGCTCTATTAGGAAGTTTTTCTTTATATTAAGCCAATGTTAGCTTTCCTATAACTTCTACCCAATGGTCAAAGTTATGCCTTCAGGAACTACCCAGAATATGTCTTTTCCAGAGAGATGAAAGGTCAGTTTCATTCAGCAAATCAGACGTATTATCAGGATGAAGGCAGGTTGGTGCCTCCTCTGAATCGCAGCCTCTTTCCCTGTAAAATGAGCTCGTTGGGCCAAAGAATCTTTTACAGCCACATGAAAAGATGATGTGGGAGCTATCAGCAGCTATGTGAAAGAAAGCTCATCTGTGGTTCTTCTAATTTTTTATCATTTCATTAATGATTTGGATTAACTGGGTCTCTCACCATGTTTCTGTAATTTGTTATTACTAATACTCCTGCTCTTCACTGTTTTGTGAGGTAAAGATGTCCATAATCTTTCCCCCATGAGATTTTACAATGAATTTATATTAGCATAGTACCAGGAACACAGAAGATCCTTAATCTATGTTTGTTGATGTGATAAACTGGTTTTCCCCTAGACTACCACCTTTCAAGTACTGATCAGAGAGATCAACTCAGTTGAGTTGGTATCTAGATTCTCTGGCCTCTGTATTGCAGTGATTATTTTATATCAGTTTAAATTTCTTAGGAAATGATCATCTGGGCTAATAACCAGTCCTTTATCCATTTCCTGTTTTTCAGTCTTAGTTGCTTGTTTGAAAGAATCAGGTCAGAGCTGTTTTAATTGTACACCAAATCATCTCATTTTCACTCTCCTAATTAGGTGCTAATTTTGGTCTTTGACCTAACAAGTGCCAGCTAAGTGTTAGAGACAGAAAGACATGGGTGAAACAGTCCTTACTCCCAAGGAACTTAACATTTATATGGGGTCATTTACATACATTAGCATACACAGAATATTTACAAGATACAATATATACAGGACAGTTTGAGGAGGGAGGACACTAGCAGCTAAGGAGATTGAGAAAGGTTTGATATAGAAGAGTATAGTTGAGTAAACTAGGCATCCTAAGAGGTGGAGATGAGAAAGGAGTGAATTCCAGGCACAGGGGACAGTGAAAAGAGATAGGAGAAGAAGCAACAATTCCTTTTGACTTCTGATTTCATTTAAAGAGAACTTGGGTAAGCAAATGAAAGAGGAAAAAGAGATGAATGAGGATCCTGAAGGCCAACCCAGCTAAGACCTGAGTTTGAATCCTACCCATGATGCAAAATAGCTGTGGTATCCTGGGCAAATCACCTAATCTCTGTCAGACTCAGAAAATTAGATTCTGAGCCAGGAGGATGCCACTCCTAACAGAAGAAGTTGGTCATGCTAATGCTAGCCTTTTAAACACTGAGGACATTCTGTTCCTTCACAGTACATTGGAACACAGAGATTCTATCATTATTGTGCTGGAGAATAACAGCTGTAGTTTCTAAGGCTTCCTAGTAGGCATGCTGAGATATAATGCCTTTTAATTGTTGAGACTTCCTGGTCCTTTGGACCTTGAGGCTCTGGTACTCAGCCAACTGGAAAGTCATGATGCCCTTTCTGTTCCTTAGTTTCTGACACTGTGTCAATAAAGTAGCTCCAAGTATAAAGACAAGGGAAGTTTCACCCTCCTGGCACTGCAGGAGCCAAAGGAGATGGTTTTGTCACCTGTTTAATTCTGGATGGTCTAAAGGAGATTCAGAGAAAAAATGGGAGCTTATAAGCAGTGGTTTTGAGTAGATGATGGACCCCAAAAGGTTCTAGCAACATGAATGTAGGAGGATGGCACTAAATAAACATAGCCTGTGCCCATGCACTGGCCTCTTACTGGTTTGAATGATTATTATTTTCACCCTGAACTTGGTGGTGGTGATAATAATGATGATTTAGAGGGAGAAAAGACAGAAAAGCAGTATGGTTCTAACTGTGGGACAGGCAAGAGGCCTTGACAGAGGATACGGAGGTGCTGGGATGTGTGCATCTATGAATATAGGTCTAGAATTCTTGTTTTTTCTTCCATTATACTAGGAACTAGCGATAGCAACAGTCCCCATTCTTTTTTTGTTTTCCTTTTGGTGAGGCAATTGGAGTTAAGTGACTTGCCCAGAGTCACACAGCTAGTAAGTATTATGTGTCTGAGCCTGGATTTGAACTCAGGTCTTCCTGACTCCAGGGCCAGTGTTCTATCCACTGTGCTACCTAGCTGTCCCTACGGTCCCCATTCTCAAAGACCATAGCTTCTAGTGAGACAGACGTTGTGTAGATAAAAAGCTAAAGCAAGGGGTGTCGTGTGTGGTAGGTGCTTTCTTTTGCCCACATGGATTATATATGTCCACATGGGTCTGTCTAGATACGGTTTGCAGGGAGGCAAAAATAGATAACTCTAGCAACTTCTCCCCATATCCTTTTCTAAGGGGGACTTTGATTCCTGCCAGGAAAGAAAGTGTGAGGTTGGCTAGAGTCACTGCTTTACTTGGGGCAGGGTCCTGGGCTAGAGATATCTATCTGCTCCCTGAAATATTATTAGTCTAGGATCTGTAGTTTTTAGATTCAAGCTATAGTTCCTGACAGGTATTTCTTAATAGGAAAGAAAGGCCCCAAGCTTTGTATCCAAGACTTAATTTCCTTCCCATCAAAGGCCAGTTCCTCAATGAACACACATAACAGATCAACAAGTTATCCCCGTTGGTAGCAAAACAGAAATGCAGCAAAGGATACATATAAAAAAATATACCAGACATTATAGACTGAAGTTTCCTTCTTTTTAAAAATTTTTTTTAAAAAAATTTATTAATTTTTTTTGCTTTATCAACAATCACTTCCATATGCTTTTGAGTTAAAAATTTTTCTCCCCCTTCCTCCCCATCACCCTCCCCAAGACGGCACACAATCTGCTACAGGCTGTATACATTTACATTCCTATTAAACATATTTTCACATTAATGAAGTTGTAAGTAAAAATTAAAACTAATAGGAGGAACCATCAGAAAGAGGAAACAAAACTCAACAAAAGAGAAAAAAATATGATAACAATTCAACTTCCATAGTTCTTTCTTTGGATGTAGATAACATTTTCAATCATGAGGCCTCTGGGGATATCTGAGATCCTTGTAATGCTGAGAAGGGTTCAGTTTAACAGTCTTAGTCATTGCATAACATGGCTGTTGTTATGTACCAAGTTCTCTTGGTTCTGCTCACTTCGCTCAGCATCAGACCATATAAGTCTTTCCAGGTTTTTCTGAAGTCAGCCTATTCATCATTTCTTACAGCACAATAGTATTCCATTACATTCATATACCACAACTTGCTCAGCCATTCCCCAGTTGATGGGCATCCTCTGATTTTCCAATTCTTTGCCACCACAAAAAGAGCTGCTATGAATATTTTTGTACATGTGGGTCCTTTTTCCCATTTGTTTGATCTCTTTGGGATATAGCCCTAGGAGTGCTATTGCTGGATCAAAGAGTATGCACATTTTTATAGCCTTTTGGGCATAGTTCCAAATTGTTCTCCAAAATAGTTGGATCATTTCACAACTCCACCAACAATGCATTAGTGTTCCAATTTTCCCACATCTTCTCCAACATTATCATTCTCCTGTTTTGTCATGTTGGCCAATCTGATAGGTATGATGTGGTACCTCAGAGTTGTTTTGATTTGCATTTCTCTAATCAATAATGATTTAGAGCATTTTTTCATATGACTATAGATGGCTTTAATTTCTTCATCTGAGAACTGTCTGTTCATATCCTTTGACCATTTATCAATTGGGGAATGGCTTGTGTTCTTATAAATTTGTCTTAATTCCCCTATATATTTTAGAAATGAGGCCCTTATCAGAGACACTGGTTGTAAAAATTCTTTCCCAGTTTTCTACCTTCCTTCTAATCTTAGTTGCATTGGCTTTGTTTGTGCAAAAACTTTTCAATTTAATGTAATCAAAATTATCCATTTTGTATTTCATAATGTTCTCTATCTCTAGTTTGGTCCACCACTCTATTTCTTAGCCAGTACCAAGCAGTTTTGATGATTGCTGCTTTATAATACAATTTAAGATCTGGAATTGCTAGGCCACCTTCCCCTGCATGTCTTTTCATTAATTCCTTTGATATTCTGGACCTTTTGTTCTTCCAAATGAATCTTCTTCTTATTTTTTCTAACTCTATAAAATAATTTTTTGGTACTTTGATTGGTATGACATTGAATAAGTAAATTAGCTTAGGTAGGATTATCATTTTTA